GGGATATTTTACAGGATGTTAAGGGAGAAGTCGAATTTCAGCACGTACAGTTCGCGTACCCATCACGACCTGAGAGCTTCGTGTTGAAGGATTTTAGCCTTCAAGTCCCAGCAGGAAGTACGACTGCACTTGTGGGAGGAAGTGGTTGTGGAAAATCAACAGCTATTGCTTTGCTCCAAAGGTTTTATAACCCAATTGGCGGCGAAATCCTACTTGATGGGGTGCCTATTCCCAGGTTACAACTCAAGTGGTTAAGGTCACAGATAGGGGTAGTGAGTCAAGAGCCGGCACTCTTCGCAATGACAATTAAAGACAATATACTTTTTGGCAAGGAGAATGCATCTCTCGAGGAGGTTATTCAGGCTGCAAAAGCTTCCAATGCTCACGACTTCATTTCTCAATTGCCTCATGGTTATGATACTCAGGTTTGTCTTTTACTTGTCCTGCAGTACATGCAATGAACATCTATTATAAAATTATTGTCCAGTTTAAGATTTTATTTTTAGTTATTGTAAAGTTAAACTCGAGTAAACTCGAGTAAAGTTAAACTCGACAATAATTTTAGGACTGAAGGAGTAATTGATTTCATCATGCTAGCCAAAATGCTCACGAGATCAGATTACTACAGATGATTTCATAAGGAATACTACTATGTTTTGGCTCAAATATTCTTTGGGAATCTTGGCATTATGTTCTTGGATTTCATAGGCTAAAATTCCTTGTTGTTTGACTGTTAATATATTCTCAATCAGGCATAACCATGTTAAGTAATTCAGGTGGGCGAGAGAGGGGTTCAGATGTCAGGAGGGCAGAAGCAGAGAATCGCAATAGCAAGGGCCATAATTAGATCTCCAAAAATTCTTCTCCTTGATGAGGCAACAAGTGCACTGGATTCGGAATCAGAGAGAGTTGTTCAAGAAACTCTAGATCAGGTGGCCAATGGACGCACCAGTGTGATCATAGCTCACCGTCTATCTACCATCCGTAAAGCGGATTTCATTGCCGTGGTCCAAGATGGCCAGGTTGTGGAGACCGGTTCACATGACGAGCTAACTGAAGATATTGATGGTTTATATTCATCCTTTGTTCGCCTGCAAAATACCAAACAAGACAACCAAATCGCCCAAAGTAATACCGAGATTAGTTCCAGTGTGGCATTAGCTTCAGCATCCATTCATAGTAGGTCTAGTTCTATTAGCGCTGTTGCCGAAATGCATCTGGCTATTCATGGTGCGGTTTCAGGGGATCGAGTTCCCTCAGTTAGAAGATTGCTTGCCATGAGCTCGCCGGAATGGAAACAGGCTTTTGCAGGCGTTATAAGTGCAATACTAGTTGGCTCAATCCCACCAATGTTTGCTTTTACAAGGGGATCAATGGCATCGGTGTATTTTCTACACGATCATGAAGAGATCAAGAAAATGACAAAAATATATTGTAGCACTTTTGTAGCACTGACACTGTTTGCAATCCTTGTTAATATATGCCAGCATTATAACTTTGCATCCATGGGAGAGAAGTTGACAAATAGGGTCAGAGAAATTATGCTCTCAAAGATCCTCACTTTTGAAATCGGATGGTACGACCAAGATGAAAACGCAACCGGCACCATTTGCGCCAGATTGGGGAAAGATGCAAATACGGTAAGCTCTTCCATTATCCCTTTTCGCAAAGAAATTTCTTGATTATGAGTTTATGACTCCCTCCAACATAACATAGTGTGCCTGATTCTAAACTTTAACTAACTAAAACAAAAGGACAGATAAACTCTGTTTTAAAACGTTTGCATTTTTTTTTTTTTTTTTGGGCTGGCATTCTGCAGGTGAGGTCATTAGTGATAGATCGAATGGCACTTCTCATTGAAACATTTTCGACTGTGACCATTGCCTGTGTGATTGGGTTCTTCATCTCATGGAGGCTAGCTTGGCTGATGATAGTTGTTCAACCTCTGGTCATTATTTCCTTCTACATGAGGCATGCGCTACTCAAAACCCTGACGAAAGAAGCCATCAAATTCCAAGAAGAAAGTAGCAAAATTGCAGCTGAAGCAGTCACAAATATTCGGACAGTTTCCTCCTTCAATGCTCAAGCGCTAATTCTCCAAATACTGAAGAAAGCCCAAGCAAGCCCTCGAAAAGAAAGCATCCGACAAGCCTGGTTTGCTGGTATCGCGCTCGGCACATCTACAAGTCTCTTGAGATTATGTTGGGCTCTTGGATACTGGTACGGTGGCAAGCTCGTTGTGGATGGCTCTCTTGGAACAAAAGGTTTCTTACAATCTTTCATGATTTTGTCGGAAACTGGCCGTGTCATAGCCAATGCGGGAACAATGACAAAAGATCTAACTAAAGGATCGGACACCATTGGTTCAGTACTTGCTATCCTAGGTCGGATTTCCTTAATTGAACCAGAGGATTCATCAGGGCATAAACCCGAAAAGATCAAGGGGCAGATTGAGTTACTTGACATTGATTTTGCGTATCCCACAAGGCCTAGTGTCATGATCTTCAAAGGATTTTCATTCAAATTTGAGCAGGGGAAATCAACCGCATTGGTTGGGAGAAGCGGGTCGGGGAAATCAACTATAATCTCTTTGATCGAAAGATTCTACGATCCACTAAAGGGGATTGTGTTGATTGATAATCGAGATGTGAAATCTTATCATTTGAGAACATTAAGACAACACATTGCGCTTGTAAGCCAAGAACCCATCCTGTTTGCCAGTACCATACGCCAGAATATCACATATGGTTCATCATCGGACATTGGCGAGTCAGAAATCATTAAGGCGGCAAAGGCAGCCAATGCTCACGATTTCATTACCGGGTTGAAAGATGGATATGATACATGGTGTGGGGATAATGGTTCCCAACTGTCGGGAGGTCAAAAACAGCGGATTGCCATAGCTCGCGCTACGCTAAGAAACCCGACAATATTGCTGTTAGATGAAGCAACGAGCGCGCTGGACAGTCATTCGGAGAAGGCCGTATTGGAGGCACTTGAGAGAGTGATGGTAGGAAGGACAAGTTTGGTTGTGGCACATCGGCTAAGTACGATTCAGAATTGTGACACAATTGCTGTTTTCGACAAAGGTGAAGTTGTGGAAAAAGGCACTCATTCTTCTTTGATGGCTAAAGGTCCAAAGGGGGCATACTCTTCTCTTGTTAGCCTCCAAACAACTCCTTCCTAAAATTGTCATGTATACTGCAGAGGGTTTTGCTACATCCGAAAATTGAATTCTTGACCCGTGCGTTCGCACGGGTTTTGTAATTGAGTAATATCTCTCTTATATTTCTAATCAATTGTAAATAAATAGATTAAATGAAATTATAGCGAGAGAAATTGTCTTACAAACTATAGACGGCAATAAAATTGGAAATGAAACCAAGGTGTAAGAAAAAAAAGAGAGAGATTTGAAAGGAAGAAAAAAGTGAATATGAATATGTGATAAACCAAAATGAACGTAACATGTAGGAAGATATCAACAACATTATGGTGCACTATTGTTGTTTTGATAACCACAATGTAGAGGACAAGTCTCTTGTTATTTTCTACTACATTAGAGAAGAACACCCAGACCTTCAACTTTTCCTGGTTTTCTACCGCTTTGTGCACTGGGCTTTTGATTGTTCCAATGTTCATTATCTACATTGAATCTTGCACTTACATATCGTACACTAAATATCTATAAAGAAATTAGCACAAATTAAAAAATTAATCTACGAAAATGCCCTGATGCTGCAACATGATTGAAAAAAGAAGATTGTAGTTGAGATTTCAACAATATTTGTCGATTGTCCAAAAAATATATAATAAGAAGGTCTTCTCCATATTTTCCATAAACAATAATTCTAGTTGAAACAATTGAATGGGGTGAAATACTCCATCTGAACCAAAAGAATTGTCCAAATTGAATTTTTTAAAATTTATTCTTTCTTAAAAAAAGTTTGAAATATAAAACTTAATCTAAATAGAAAAAAAAAATTTAACTCTGCCTACGATAGACTCTTGGATTTATAGTTGTAGGTCCCAAGCCCGAATAAAAAAGGAGAGTTGACTTTTTTTATTTCTTTATTTTTAAAATGCCCAATTTTTGAAACTAGGTTTAAGCCCTACGTTAAGTCGCTAGTAATAAAAAAACACTTAAAAACACATAATGAAAAAACAGTTCAAACATATAAAATAAACAACGCATGGACTGTTTTGACCTTTTTCGGGGGGGACTTATTGGATGTGCGGCTGCCGGCTTTCGTCAATTATATATGACACAGAATGAAAAGCAATGTTTAATTTGCAATAATGCAGATACACTTTTGCTGTTGCAATGGAATGCACGCAAATGCTCCACAGCAAGGATTAAAAGTAGCAAACAAAGACAAGGTTTGAAAGTAGCAAAAAGATGTGCTACAAGTAAGGTAATTGTTGTGTGAATCTGATGAAATTGAGAAAGCATTAGTACTATTTTTTATTACAATTTTCAGTTCACAATTCAAATTGTTAATACAATTTATATAATTTACAATCTATATTGCTTTTGTGGGATAGAGAAAGTATATTAGAATATAAAAGAGACATAAAAAGAAAATATTCAAGCTAACATAGGTGGATTGTTATTCAACTTATATAAGAAAAGATAATTTCAGTCATACCATATTATAACCATAAATGGAGCCTCCTTGAGACCAAAAATAGTTTTGTACTCCCTCTAGTACTTAACATAAAATATTTTGTTTTGTTTTAGATTTTATCTAATATGTATTTTTAATCGGACAAAAAATTTTAAAAATATATTTTCACATTCACTGTATTCTTTATTGTTATGAAATATTTTTAAGATTTTTTTGTCAACTAAAAATGTGTACTAGTTGAAACCTAAGACAAATAAAAATGCCTTATATTAAGAACAAGAGGGAGTACTTTATTAAAATAGTTTGAGTACTGGAGCTAAAGCTAGCTAATAATTCATCATAAAAGGTTAGCTCCTCATTTGTTCAAGTCTGCAAGAACTATTATAAATAATTGAGAATGAGGAGCGCGCTCCTTATGGAAATCAATTATTGTAAATGGTTAGGACTTTGGATATGATGTTAGCGTCACAACATACGAAAAAGATGAATAGGAAGAAGCAGCTGATCAGATCAGTCGCATTGATTTTCAGGCACGCCGATGGTGTCGACAAAGCTTTGATGATCGTCGGGTTCTTGGGAGCTGTTTGTGACGGTCTGGGATTGCCGGCGGTGTTCTTTGTCACCGGAAGTATAGTCAACGTTCTCGGCAATGCGGATTCCTTACCAACTCAAGAATTCAGGGATAGTATAAACAAGGTCGGTTATGATATATATGTAGTTTCCCTCTGAGATTTTTGGACTACTTTTTTTTTTTTTTTGTCCCTTCCAACCTGATGACTTTACTCCGAATCCAGAATGCGCTGGTTCTCTGCTACGTAGCATGCGGGCAGTGGATTGCTTGCTTTCTTGGTAAAATTATTATTACTATTGTTTTTTCCTCACTCGGTTGAAGATGATGAATTGGTCAACTTGTTCGCTAGTTAATTACGTGAACTCTGCCGAACATGTATTTCAGAGGGTTATTGCTGGGCGAGAACATCAGAGAGGCAAGCGTCAAGTATGAGAGCTGCATATTTGAAGGCAGTGCTTAGACAAGAAGTGTCTTACTTCGATTTGCACGTTACAAACACAGCCGACGTCGTCGAGAGCGTGTCAAATGATTGTCTTCTGATTCAGGATTTCATAAGTGAAAAGGTTGCTTAGTGTTGTTTTCTTCCCTTTTAGGCTTTACTAAATCATCGATATTGATTTTGAGTGTGTATGAACCAAAAAAAACAGGTAACCGTGTTTTTGATGAACCTGTCGACTTTTGTTGGCGCTTATGTTGCATCATTCTTGATACTCTGGAGACTAGCGCTAGTTGGAACTCCATTTGTATTACTTCTGGTTATACCGGGTTTGGTGTACGGCAGAATTCTGATGGGCATTTCTAGGAAGATCAGGGGAGAATATAGTAAGGCCGGTACAATCGTAGAGCAAGCGATTTCTTCCATCCGAATTGTTTACTCCTTTGTTGGAGAGGCTAAAACTATAGCGGAGTATCTCAGTGCTCTTAAGGTTACACTTCAATTAGTCCGACGACAAGGTTTTGGAGAAGGACTAGCTGTTGGTAGTAATGGCATCATCTTTGCGGTCTGGTCTTTCTTGTCTTATTATGGTAGTCGATTGGTTATGTACCATGGTGCTGCTGGAGGAACAGTTTATGCGGCTATGGTTTCTCTTGTATATGGAGGATTGTAAGCTGTCTTTTTTTTTTCGCTACTAGAATAATAATTTTTTTTTTATTTTTTTTTTGCGAGTAGTAAGGACCAGGATAAACAGAACTGAAATGCTTTCTTTTGTATTAATGTTCAAACAGACCGCTAGGTACTTGTTTATCTGACTTGGAATACTTGTCGGAAGCCGGTGCAGCAGCTGAACGCATCATGGAAATCATAGAAAGAGTGCCCGCGATTGATTCAGACAACATGGAAGGGGAAATCCTAAACACAGTCAGGGGAGAAGTTGAGTTCAAGCATGTTAAATTCGCGTACCCATCACGAGCTGAGAACTTGGTTTTGAAGGATTTTAGCCTTCGATTCCCTGCCGAAAGGACAACTGCGCTGGTTGGAGGGAGTGGTTGTGGAAAATCGACAGCTATTGCTTTGCTCCAAAGGTTTTATGACCCGATTGGCGGCGAAATCTTACTTGATGGAGTACCTATTCACAGGTTACAACTCAAGTGGTTAAGGTCACAGATAGGGGTAGTGAGTCAAGAGCCGACCCTTTTCGCAACAACAATACGAGACAACATACTGTTTGGCAAGGAGAATGCATCTCTTGAGGAGGTTATTGAGGCTGCAAAAGCTTCCAATGCTCACGATTTCATTTCTCAATTGCCTCGCGGTTATGATACTCAGGTTTGTCTTTTACAGCAGATAGTAGTTGATTTTCGATGCTTTTTATTACTCCGAAGCTCATGAGTTATTATAAATAAAAAGCTTCATCTCTTCAATTGTTAATTAGAGTATTCAATCAGCAATCAGGCATAACCATTAGATTATTTGAAGTATTTCAGGTGGGTGAGAGAGGGGTTCAGATGTCAGGAGGGCAAAAACAGAGAATAGCCATCGCGAGAGCCATTATTAGATCTCCCAAAATCCTCCTACTTGATGAGGCCACAAGTGCACTTGATTCCGAATCAGAGAGTGTTGTTCAAGAAGCTGTACATAAGGTGGCTGAGTGTCGCACTACCATCAGCATAGCTCACCGGCTTTCCACCATCCGAAAGGCTGACTTCATCGCTGTTGTCCAAAATGGCCAACTGATGGAGGCCGGTTCACATGACGAGCTCATTGAAGATACAAATGGTATATACACATCCCTTGTTCACCTCCAAAATACCAAAACATGCAACCAATTTCCTAACAAAAACAAAAACGAAATCAATACTCGTGTTGCATTGGCTTCAAAAATAAGTTATAACAGATCTAGTTCAGATAGCTCTGTAGCTACAACCCATCAGGCAGAGTATGTTACAATTTCCGGGGATGAGGTGTCCCCGTCCCCCTCAATTCGAAGATTATTAACCATGAGCTTGCCTGAATGGAGACAGGCATTGGCAGGTTGTATAAGTGCTATATTTGTTGGTGCTATCCAACCACTTTTTGCATATTCCAGGGGAGGAATGACAATGGTGTACTTTCTGAAAGATCATGGAGAGATCAAGAAACAGACTGAAAGATATGCCTTTGGTTTTGCGGGGTTGACAGTGTTCTCAATCCTGGTCAACACATGCCAGCATTACAGCTTTGCAGCTATGGGGGGAAACTTGACAAATAGGATTAGGGAAAGGATGCTTTCAAAGATCCTCACTTTTGAAATTGGATGGTTCGATCAAGATAAAAATTCAACCGGTGCTATTAGCTCTAGACTCGCGAAAGATGCCAACGTGGTAAGCCTTCCCATTCTCAATTTCTAAGGGAAAATTGTTAAATGTTCCTCCTTCCGTTGTCACGCTTTTAAAATTTATTCCATAACCAATTTGACCATTGAAGGAGCACAGCGAATTCTAAAGTTGGTCAAAATCATTATTGATAACAAATGACGAGTTTACAATATGAAAATATCTCTTCTTCTGAGTAACAAAAAAAATGGTGTATCTCAATAATTTATCTTGTGTTGACATTTTACAGGTGAGATCATTAGTGATAGATCGAATGGCGCTGCTCGTCCAAACGATTTCGACAGTGACCGTTGCCGGTGTCATGGGGTTGATTATTTCATGGAGGGTAGCATTAGGCATCGGAGCTGTTCAACCCGTCGTTATCATTTGCTACTACTTGAGGAATGTGCTACTCAAAACCATGACGAAAAAGGTCATCAAATCCCAAGAAGAAATTACTAAGATTTCAGCCGAAGCAGTCACAAATTTTCGAACTGTCACCTCATTCAATGCTCAATCGTTAATTCTTCAAATCTTGGAGAAAGCCCAAGTAGAACCCCGACAAGAAAGTATTCGGCAAGCATGGTTTGCTGGTGTTGGCCTCGCCACGTCCTCCGGGCTATTGAAATTATGTTGGGCTCTCTATTTCTGGTACGGGGGTAAGCTCATGGCAGCAAGTTCTCTCGGAGCAAAAGCTTTTTTCCAATGCTTCATGATTTTGGTGGACACTGGTCGTGTCATTGCTATTGCCGGAACAATGACAAAAGATCTGTCCAAAGGATCCGATACCATGGATTCGGTATTTGCTATCCTAGATCGCAATTCCTCAATTGAACCCGAAGATTCGACAAAATATAAACCCGAAAAGATCAAGGGCCATATTGAGTTAATGTGTGTCCATTTCGCATACCCCTCCAGGCCTAATGTCCTGATCTTTAACAATCTTTCACTCAAATTTGAGCCAGGAAAATCAACAGCACTGGTAGGAAAAAGCGGGTCAGGCAAATCAACCGTGATCTCCTTAGTTGAGAGATTTTACGATCCACTGGAAGGAGTTGTGATGATTGACAAGAGAGATGTGAAATGTTATCATTTGAGAGCATTAAGAAAACACATTGCACTTGTGAGTCAAGAACCAGCTTTGTTCTTAGGTAGCATACGTGAAAACATTATATATGGCACATCAGGGGATATTGATGAGTCAGAGATTATTGAGGCTGCCATAGCAGCCAATGCTCATGACTTTATCACTGGGCTGAAAGATGGATACGATACATTGTGCGGGGATAAGGGCTCGCAGCTATCTGGTGGCCAGAAACGACGCATTGCTTTAGCTCGTGCCGTGTTGAAAAACCCGACAATACTGATGTTAGATGAAGCAACGAGTGCGCTAGATAGTCACTCAGAGAAGGTTGTATTGGATGCACTTGAAAGAGCGATGGTTGGAAGGACAAGTTTGGTTGTGGCACATCGGCTAAGTACGATTCAGAATTGTGACACAATTGTTGTTTTGGACAAAGGTGAAGTAGTGGAGAATGGCACTCATTCTTCTTTGATGGCTAAAGGTCCGAAAGGACCCTACTTTTCTCTTGTTAGCCTCCAAACAACTATTTCCTAGTAGGTTATAATAATACTATAAATTTTTCTAGGTACTAGGTAATAATAAATTTTCAAGTGTATTGACCGCTTTGAATATGGAGGTTTTTCCTACATATTTCCCTCTCATACAACTCATTCCATCAGTCCCAAAATTATCATTCACTTTGAATTTTCATGTCTAATTTTAATTATAGTAAAAGTGAAATATTAAACTGGACAATCATATTCGGACGGAAAGAGTTTGTATAATCGTTTAACATTGAATAAAAAAAATATTTCAAATTCTCACGTACTGGTGCAGATGTTCAATTAGTTAGAATGCAAGGGCCAACTTTGATGGACTATTTGTAATTGCCCACTTTGTTGCGAGCTGCATTTTGGTTATAAACATGTATGTTTTGGTAAATGACTAAATTGCCAAAGGTGTTAGTTACCAAACCTTGAATGGAACATTGTTACCAACTTTTCCAACTATTGCCAGTTCAGCTTCAAACCATGAGCAAATTGTATTAGTTCTTCACACGAGCAAATTGTATTAGTTGTCTGGTGTACATCAAATTAATTATTCTCGGTCAAACGACGTTACTGGCTGTAAATTTCATTACAGTAAGAATCTTACTGTTGTAGTATTATGTGGCCTGCCACGCAAGCACCAACCTCACCATGCTAGAATGGAAAAAAAGCTAGCCAGCTTCATTCTCCAGTCCAGCCTTTAACATCAACACACAACAGTGAGAAACAACTAAGCAGGACAGGATCAAATCTCTCACACGTGTCACGTGTAATTAAAGTACATAAACTCATTTCATTAATCACTTGGTCGTCGGTTCCAGATCCAGTCCTAATGGAAGACACCTCGAAATGACAACGTCTTTAATTTTACAAGCATCGGATGCCTCTTGTAAATTGGAAGAATTAGTAGTATCACTTTGAAACTGAAGAAACCAAAACAGAAATGAAAATTGAATGCTCACTAGTATTATTTCGAATCATATTGTACAATGGAACCAAAAAGAGGCAATGAATCAAAACAGAAAGCTCTGTACACTCAAGCAAACCGCCTGTGTTAGTTAATTAGTGTTAAGTCAGTTAACAATCTGGCTTCTGGACGAACCCAAACAATTTATCAAAAAAAATATTACAATTTGGCAATCACTTTGCAAATGGGATGGTGTGGTTCTTATTCCAAATCAGATTGCCTTAATTCTTTCCGAAGCTTTTGTGAAAAAGATCTGCAAGCATCAATGCTCAAATCCAAGGCTGCAGCCAATGCCACGTATGCCGCAGCATCTTCTGTGCAAGAAACATGATGAACTCCAATCTCCACCTCAGGCTTGCTACATTTTCCATCACCATTTAAGGTAGATGACATAACAAATCCTCTGTATAAAAGATGAGCCCATGAACCCGATCCGAGTTCAGAACCTGACCCACAACTTGACAGTGAACTGAAATCGAAACTGCTGTTCGGACTAGTCATTGGAGTTACTCCGGTGGCAACATCAATGCTGAATTTACCGCCTTTTCGGGTTGGAATACTCGAATTGGCTAATGTGATCGTGTCGATACTACCATCTGGAATGAGTTCGAATCGGTAGCCAATGTTATCGGAATGATTCTGTTCACGCCAAGCCTCGAGTCTTCCCCATGGTTTCCATGTCCCTTGGCCGGGTCGGAGGATGAGCCAAGCTCCAGGGTTGGATTTGCTGACTTTATCGGATCCGGGTGAAGGAACAAACGGAGTCACCATTGATGCTGCTGCAACGGGTGAACCGGATAGATCATGGATTGTAATTGACCATCCTTTCCTCTCTTTAATTGGCTGCTCTTTATCGCCTCCTATTGAAGAACTAAAACAACCAACTTTGGCGTTTTTCTCAGAGATTGATGATCTGCATCAACAAAAACAAACAGTACATCAGCATCAAACTCCAAAAATTCACATCTGCTTTAATTCCAATAATTCCTAATTTGATTAAATCAGTAACTATTCAAACAACATAACATAATATATCTGAAATTGGACCAAATTGGTAAAAGAAGCTAATTAATTACCTGGTTCTCAAGTTGTTTCTTTCTCCACCTGAATTTCTGAACCCAAACTTGCAAGAGAAAACGGGTTGTTTGACATTCCCATTGACTTGAAAGACTTGAGGGCTGCACTCTGGCTCGCCATCAAACTGGAACACAAATCTGGGATCAGGTTCAGCTTTAACATTGGCGTGTAAATGGGATCCCTTTAAACTCCCAGTCAACATACTAATCCATCCACTATGAATCACAACACACCCTTTATTATTGCTCCCAATAATACTGTTCTCCACCGCCTTCAAATCCAATTTCACCGAAGCCGTACCCATGAGTTTCTCACTCTTCAATCCACAGCTCGTTTTATTATTCCCACTGAAAATCTCAATCTTCAAACTACAGTTCCCACTCTTTTTAGCCGCCGATTTCCCCACTAATCTCTCGAAATCCGACTTCTTAAAACTGAACCCGGCATGGATCTTACTGTCAATGGCATCGCTCTCTTGAAGAATCCATGGGATGGTTGAGAACTGGGAAGGAAACCCATCGAGCTTGATTTTACAATAACAAGAAGGGAATTTCGCACTGTTGACGGAATATTTAGTCGACGGCGACGATGAGTCCTGCCTCAGAGCCAAATTCGAGACCACAATCCGAACAAAAGGGCAAGGATCCATATTAATTATGGGTCCTTTTAGGTATTGTAGAGAAACGATTTTCTTTCCTTCTTTCTTCTATCTCTCCTCAGAGATTGACGAATATTAGGAGTGTGATGGGGCAGTGGAACTACGAATATAAGGGGATGGTTTTTGACAAAAGAATTTTTTTTTATAAGGAAAATACAGACTGGAAATTATGAGGAAGAGAGAGAAAAAGAGAGAGGGTTGATTATGCATGGACATGCGTGCGGGAATGAGCTGTGTGCACGTACGAGCTAGTGCCAGAACAGCACATTGTCTTTTGGCATCTTCTATTAATAAAAAAAGAAATTCTATGTTCTGACAAAACAAAATAAGGTAATTACTATTAGTTAACTAAATTTTATGCATTGGTCAGATGTGACCCCGAAACGTACTGTTTTTGGGCGTTTGTGCTAGCGTTGTTATCTATAACTCCCCCATGTTTGAAGAAATTGCGTTTGCATCAAACAAAAAAAAAAAATTGCCTTTTGTTTGTTTTTTCAAATTTGCGGAAATTAAGATCGTGCGTGGGTGAAAAGACAAGGAATTCGTATTAGGACCAAAAAAGATAAACTAAAATTTGGTATCAAATTCACCCACCATAGCAAATGAATTAGGCTTGATTATATTGAGATAATGAAATATCAAACCAAAAAATAACAAAATACCTTGTTATCTTTGTGTCATATCATTTTCTTATAAAGTCTTGAACTAGTTACTATAAAAATGATGTAGAGCAATCGATGTCCAACAATAAATATTTTCGTGGATAAGACACAAGTAGATAATATTACTGTCACGACTTCATAATATATTCAAGAAAATTTTATATCAATAATTTAATAATTATATATAATAGAGATGTTTTATTAAGGATCGAATCATAAATAAGTATGTATCACTAATGTTAATATTGTTTCTTTTGGACAAATGAAATAACCACAAATGACCTGTATCTAAGTTTAATTACAATATTTTTTTTCCTATTAAGAAAATATATTTCACAGTTACGATCCCTTAATTTTTTAATTTCTTATTTTTGTCTTTCAGTATTTAAATATTGCATTAAGGTTCTCACTCATGCAAGTGCCCTCCATATTCTTTGTAGTTTGAACTCCAAAAATTGGCTTAAATACTCCCCCCTTTTCCATTTTTTATCCATAGTACTTATGTATCAAAATAACAAAACTTATGATTCATCGTAAACTAAACATAAATACTCATATTGATTAAGCTAATTAATATCGAGCCAATCACCGTTGCTTTCATATATATATATATATATATATAATCAAATTCATTAACTCGATTTTTAAAAAAATTAGATTTGGCAAACTTTAGACTTATCTAATATCATAGATTATTTGTTGCACATATTATATATTTCAATATTTGTATGTGTGTGTATTTCATCTAATACTTCAATTTGAACTCTATTGAGATTCAATTTGAACTCTACTAAGCTTAAGTAATTTTGTTGCATATTAAGTTACGTTTAATATATAGTACTCAATCTATCTAAAAATTGTCTAATTTATATATGGAAAATGATAAATATAGTGAAAACAAATAGTGAATAAGCAACAAAATTACTTTCCTGTTATATGGTATATACTAACTCTCCCTATTTTTTTGGTACTTTCCTGTTAAAAGTTTTATTCTTCCCAGAAAATACACTTCTGCCCCTTACACATTAGTCCCTATGAGTTTTCACTATTTTTTTTTTCACTCTCCCTATCATTGCTGTTTATATATTCGCTTTGAGTACAATTTGAACTAAAAATAAAAATTTAAATTTGATAATGATTTTAGAATATAAGGAATAATTCTATTAGTTCTATTCATACATAACTCGACTTTTTATATAAACATGTGAATATGATTATGCATATATGTTACTATTCTTGTAGACAATAACAAGAGTGATAATGTGTTTTTACAAATTTAAAGGAGCACTTTGTGGTTTTCTCAAACTATGAGGAAAAATGAGTTAATTATCCAACCCCTTGTAATATGTGTGAAATGTATATAGAAGTATAGATGAGTGGTGGGATATTATGGTGTTAAGGAATGTAGTGATTGGGTTGATGAGAGGGCATGAGTTGTATTGGATACAACTGGTTGACAGCTGGGGAAAGAGCCTCATATAATGACAGGGGCGCTGATGATCCAGCACACTTCTATACTTAGGTCCCACCGTCCAATTCCTTCATCCATATTCATATATGTTTATATGTTTTCAGTTCCAGGTTTGTGGTAGGTCTGAGATTCTTCTTTTGGTCATTTTAAAGATACAAATAGTTCATTCAATAAAAAAATACCGATTAATGCATATTCTCTATAATATTATGACATGTAATATTTTATTTGTAAAATTTAAAGATTGATTTAAAATAAACTAAAAATATGAATTTTTGATAAGGCTTCTTTTAATTTTTTAGTATTTAATTTATTTTTGTCTTGTTCATTCCACAAAAAACTAAATGATGAAATTACTTTTATCTCAAAACATCTATTTTGTTTTTGTATTGGTATTTTTAGTATGATAAGCAAATTTTTAGAACTGAAGAAGTGTTTGAAACAAAAAGATGATTGAAAAAGATCTGGTTGGTTATCATTTTTCGAGCTCTTTAGTTGTGGCAATGGAAACAACCCCGTCCCTGATTACCTGGATACAATCCATACAAAACAACAATAAGGTTTTGAATTTGAAAATATAAACAAGAATTTTTGGCGTTGGCTGCTCTCAACTATTACATAAGCAAGGAAGAAAAATCCAACAGGCGGCCCACAGTTAGAACGTAGAATACATTTGTCTCCTTGTTCAACGAATTTGGTTTCCAACTCCTTACCAACTCAAATTAGCATTTTTATAATCCCCACTATTTACTAATAAATATATAACGAAAAAATTAACTTCTTACAATCATTTCCTTCTTTTCCTTAAAGTTCATATCAATTCTTCTTTTGTATTTTTAGATGAGGGTAGGTACCGATTCCCGAAACGAAGAATGTAGCAAAGCTTTGATTCTTGATTTTGATTTAAGTAACAAAAAAGAAATGTTTATGTGACGAAAAGGTCAAAACAAACTATGCCATTTCGGCCCTATGTGCATTCCAGCACTTATATGATTAATTTAACCTTATAAAAGGTACTCCCTCCAGTCCTTAATATAAGGCATTTTGATTTGTCATAAATTTAATCTAGTACGTATTTTTAATTAAGAAAAAATTTTAAAAATATTTCATGACAATCAAGGAAATACAACGAACGTGAAAATATATTTTTAAAATTTTTTCGTCAATTAAAAATACGTAATAACTAAAACCTTAAACAAAATCAAAATACCTTATATTAAAGATCGGAAGGAGTACTTCATTTCCTTAAATAGGGGATCGTCTATTTTGTTTTGGGGCAAAAGTTTGGATTTGAATTGATTCATTGGATTAGTATGCAAATTTGATTACTCTGACCTTGATATTTATATATATTATTTAAAGCTGAATTCAATTTGTAAACTGGTCCATTTGTCAGATTTTTTATTCTATTTTTAGAAATTTATATAAACGAGAGGAACAAACGGAAGGAACCACATACACTTGCAATTGTTGATTAAATAATAGCTTGGAATATCTTGCCACTCTTATTTTCTAGATAAATCGTTAAATTCTCCTCAGTTATTTGGAAACTATTACAATTACAATGGACGTACATTCACTGAATTCTTGTAACGTTACAAATAGGGAAAATATCTAACAGTTTTAGCAAGTTGGGGAAGAAATACCTTGTGAACATTAAAATGTTTTTTGTGCAAGTTGGGAGAAAAAATAATGGGCAAAATGACAGGCGAAAAGCATAGTACAGAGCTGGATAAGGAGGATATCTGGGTGGATCACCGTCCTTATTCAGCTGTTCTGTTTTGGACCTTGGGAGCTTCACTAATCATAATGATCAGGAATTGCTCATTGCCTAACTTCTTTAAAATTTGAGCTTTCTGTCTCGCCACATATGGTCAAATATCCTGGTCAATGCGGTCTTCATGCCTTTTCATGGGCTGTCAAATTCTAGGTAAACGAGTTAGGCTACATTTGGCAAATAAAACGGGCTACATTTTCACATAATCGAACAATTCCGTTGCATTTCAATAATATACAGGGACTAAACTCATTAAATAAAATCTTATAAAATGAAATGAATTATGAAAATTAAATAAGGCATTATTAGCAGTGATTAAATTAATTATACCTTATAAAATTTTGTATTGTACTATCGACCTATATTGATCGAATAATTCAACAATAACGGTAACTTTTACCTAAATGGTTATTCTCATCCAATTATTTAGAGTTTATTTTTTTATCATCCTTGATCACTATTCACATAGTACTATAAATGATAATCTCGATAGAGCGAATTTCCGTGGCTTTTTTTTTTTCTTTTTCGTGTGGCTTTTAATTCGAATTGTGATAGTTTACAGATCATTACTGGTTGTGAATTATAACTAATCGTCGGCAATATTAATGGTACATGAATTAACTGGTTAGAACTTAGAAGCCTCAACGATGAAAATTAATTAATTAATGTTATAAAAACTAACAAGGGGAATTTTTCTCATGATTTGCTGACGTTTGATTTTATAACCGTGCCAATCTGGCTCAACAGGTAGTATAAAACTTTTGACACTTTCAGAACAGAGTCCTTTTTTTTTTTTTTTTTTGAAAATCAGAACAGAGTCCCTAGTTTGACTAGATTCGATCCTGCTGCTAGGCACCATGCACCAAAATGCCCATTTCCAAAAAAAAAAAAAAAAACACCAAAATGCCGGTTTTCACTGTTGTTCGTAATTGATGCCACTAATTAGTAATTACCAATCTTATCGTATTTTTGCAAAATGAACTACTCCCTCTGTCCCAAAATTATTATATAATTTGATATTTTACTTTTAGTACAACTTAAACTAAAAATAAAAATACAAACTGGACAATAATTATGGGACAGAGGGAGTACAAAATTGCAGAACCAATCAAGAGATTTATAACGTTTCAGAGACAGAGTAACCTTGGCTTTTGGGCTCTTAACGTGTTTCCTTATTTTTTTATTTTTTTCGTACATGGAAGATAATGTTTTAACCTTACTCTCGATCTTAATAACCTGCTAATTCCGACGGAAATCCGAGAAATAGTTACACTAATACGCAATTTAGTTTTCAATTGTTTTTGTCAGATAAATTAGCCTATAACAAAATGTCTTGTAATAGATTAGATTCTTTTAAATATAAACAGGAACTATTTCAAAAAAAAAATAAAATTTATAGGTTGTTCATTCAATTTGAGGTAACCTCTGGCCTAGTCAAAATTAAAGATGCCGGATAACAAGCACAGCCCAATTTCTTCTAAACAATTCTCTAATTCTTCTGATTGCATAGATGCTCATTCACCCCTCCAGAAAAACATTGTTAATTTTGGGTTTATCTCGTTATACTCTACAATAAAAGTAGAGATTTTGAGTCCTACATTAAACCATCAATAATCTGAAACGGTCCTCATATTTTAAGTCTCTCGTCTTAAAGGCGCCGTTCCATTCTCCAGTTATCTCTACTCGATGTTCTTTGTTCACTTGAAGTTGAAAGTGATAAGTGGCTCTATGTTAAAAACAATGCATAAAGCCATAAACGCTGGCAACATCAGATATTTTAAAAAAAAAAAAAGAAGAAGAAAAAACTGGCCTTCAGAAAAATTAGTACTATTACGGAGGAGATAAATGAACAATTCAGACTAGTAAGGTACTAGTTCAATACCAAGTGCACCAAATGAAATTCTGAAGACTCCGAATATATATGTCTAGCATATTTACTACCACTACGGTTCCGTCTCATAAAACTAATCTTATTTTTTTTCATAACGATTTGTTAAGAAAACGACTATTATTATTATTACAAGACGGTGGCTGAATAATCTCAAAATAGCCCGTGGTGGTGATCGTATCCAAAGCCGTAGAAATTGGATGTCATTGAACCCAGATTGACCCCTGTTGTTGGTTTAGTCTCATACTGATGAAAGACTAATCCAGCGTCACCATTATTATTATTATTATTATTATTATTATTATTATTATTATTATTGTTGTTATTATTCAGTTCAAAAAATGACGATGAACTAGTACCATTATTCTGATGATCGGCCATTACCTTACCAACTTGTTCTGTCACGCTTTTCTTCAAATCCTTCATATAATCCCTTAACTGTTCAAGTTCGTGCAATCCAAGCTCATCAATTGGGGATTCCCACCAGTAATGATTCTGTCTAGCCTTCCACATTAGATCAAATGCTTCACCTTTTTTCTTCTCAGCTTCAAACTCGTTCACAATTTGAGTCAGCTGGGAATTCAGCTCCCGGATGCTATTCGAATTCGGATTCGAATTCGCCACCGTCGTCGTCATTGTTCGTTGACGATGATGAGGCTGATAATGATGATCAATCTGAAGATGGTTCTTGTTTCTGGACATGAATTTATCAACAATGTAATCAACATTAGGATTCCCAAAGGAGAAAACTTTCCCTGCTGGGGAAAACACTATAATGGCCAACTCAACTCCGCAGAGTGTACTAAGTTCGTGTGCCTTCTTGTATAGCCCAGAACGACGCTTTGAGAATGTAACTTGGAGATGATTTTTAATCTCTATTTTGGCAATTTTGATCTTTTGACGACCCAGGCTTGGCTTCTTTGCCATAATGGATTGAGTTTTCTGAATATTTTTTGGTTGGAGAATAGCTTTTTTTTTTTTTTTTTGGTTGTTGTTTGCTGAATGGATTGAGTTGAAAAAGGAACCAATTTAAAGGGGTTGGAGTTGACTCTCTAACCTGAAGAACAATTAAATTCTATTCATTGACATTTCAATTGCTAAATGAGCATAATTGTGTATGATTTGGGAGTTTAGAAAATCTTCAAACCTTAATGCATGGAATAATGATAAGTTATCTTCTTGTCTCTTAGTTGGCATTATTGAATGAAGTTTCCAGACTGTTTATTTGCAAGCAAAGTCAACTTGGTTGTTCTCCCGTTTTTAACATTTTCTTTTTTTTTTCATGTAAAATGCTCAAAGGTTGTAACACACAATTTTGGTAGGTACTTGAGAGTAATTCATTGCACGTTACAAAATAGCCAAAAGAAACATTTATTTGAACATAAATAATCATGAATTCTATGATTTCAATCAAGTTTTCTAACATCACTTCCATGACAAGTAAAACTGCACAACAATCTCAAAGAAATTTTTTCACTATGACAAGGATGACGACGTCTCATCTTGTTTTTTTTCCCCCCTCTTCCGATGATGTCTCCGATTAATTGGTCAAATCATTTTTACTCCACTGTTTAATTAATTGGTAATGTAAAAGTTTGTATGAGAAATCTAAAATCAGACTGATTTGGCTGTGGCATTATAGACTTAGTGAAATGCGATATTCGGTTATTATTCACATGTTGATGTTGTTGGATAAAGGATTGGAAACACTTTGGTAAGAAATCTCTTAAAAGTGAATAAAAATGTATCAATTTATTGTAGCCATTAAACAAAACAAAAACTGTCAAGTATTTATTTTGCTGCAATAACTAGTCAATTTGTTATCATCGTACTCGTTTCCATTATTCTGTGAACGTTACGGATGGCTAGCTAGTCTTATTGAGTTATCAAGTATTTGGGAAAATGATTTTAGATGAATCAAAAGAAAACTTAGAAAATACTCCCTCCGTCCCATAATTATTGTCCAGTTTGGGTTTTCATTTTTATTTCAAATTGTAATAAAAGTGAATTTCAAACTGGACAATAATTTTGAGACAGAGGGAGTATTAATACAGTATACTCCTTTTTCCGTCTTAGTTTATAATCTAATGTCACTCACTTTATCCCAAAAAGTGATTATCTCGTTTGTATGTTATGTTTAGTACTCCTTCCGTCCCATAATTATTGTCCAATTTTACTAAAATGAAAGATTTTATTTTTGCTCAAACTTAATTATATTTTACCTTAAACAACCGGATATACCCCTACATAAGTAATTGTTTAACCACTAAGATTTTATAGATAATGTTTTTTTACAAAGGACAAATGTGTAACTTGATCCATAAAAAGTCAAATTGGACAATAATTTTGGGACAAAATTTTTTGGGCAAAGTGGACAATAATTATGGGACGGAGGGAGTATAATATACACTAACTAAAAAAATTTAAATGGGATAATCATTTCAAAATGAATAATCATCAGGGTCAATATCACAATACTAACAATTTATATGATTTTGTTCTCTCTATTTCTCAAATGATCCAACTTTTCCATAGGTATATTTTAATATTCAATAAGTAAAACAATGTTAAGCCAAAAAATACATCGAACTCAAGGACGTTATTTTATTGGTGTGAATTTGTAAGATTCAATTATAGAGTGGACGAATACAAATCTTTTGTTAGCTCAATTTTAATCTACAAACCCAATTAAGGAGATTTGTAAACACGTATTTGCTTTGCTTTCTTTTCTCAAATTCCACATGGACTTTTCCTCCAAATCATGTGTCAAATACTCTTCTTTAAAAAGTAGTAATACTTGAACAAAATTTGCATATGCTGTCTCACATTTGTTTCTGTCTAAGGAATACTAATTTTCTTTTTGGTTTAATAAACGAAAACACTTATCTATATACTATACTAAGGCAAAAACCAGAGAGAGAAAACTAAAGGCATGGAGCACATGTCATATAGGATTTAATCCTATGTGGCATTTTCTTAATTTCTTAGACTTAAAAATGCACAAAACAAAATAATAAAACAAAAAAAAAGCAACTAAAATAATTTTAAAAAAAATAAAATAATAAAAACCGAACCCTTATTTTCATGAATCAAATCCTAACACAGAGATTGATTGGAGAGAGTACCAAATCCTAACAAATTTTAGAGAGATCTGCATAAACCTTATTACCAGTGAATTTAAAATGTCATTTAAAAAAAACAAATTCCTGTAAATTTAGAGATAATCATGTTTAAAACTGAAATCATTACATATTTTATAAAAATACAAAATTTATGTAAAAATGTCTAAATATATATGTCTTCCCTATCCATCAAATGGGTCTAACACCTAGTTATTTGAAAACAAGGAAGAGTTTTTGAACATGTAATTGCAATGGAAAAATTAAACAGATTATTTTAAATGGAATGGAAAACTATATGAAGACAATGCTGGACATACAGGCCCATACCACTTTAGAAAATAAGTTTGAAGAAGTACCCTAGAAAAATAAAGTTCGGCCCTTCATGATTGTTTATTTGCGTAAATATTAATCGGACAGAAAATTGCTTCGCTTTGAGCATGAAAGTTTCACATATTGCCGCAAATATAATAAGCACATACTAAATGCATACGCACGGGCGCCCCCGTATTTTAACTTAATTTATTAAAATGAATTACAAAAAACTATTTACAGACATATATCAATATATGTATATGAAATGTTCAATTATGTATACAAATAAAACTATATTGGTTTCATTTAAAAAATTATATATTGTCAAAAACAAATTATTAATAGTCTAAATGATAATTTTAGACTAATAGCCCAATGACAGTATAATTCATTTCGGCTCCCTTTATTGTTTGCATAATTTTACGTCCGTAATTATGTCCGGGCGCCCCAGTATTTTAATTTAAATTATTAAAATGAATTTCAAAAATTTATTTACAGACATATATCAATATATGTATATGAAATGTTCAATTATGTATACAAATAATACTATATTGGTTTCATTAAAAAAAATGATATATTGTCAACTACAAATTATTAATAGTTAAAATTTACACAGTGTAGTAAAAATATATATATATATATAATAATATTTTGCTTGATGATCTATTTTAAAATTATCTAGACAATAAAGAAGAAAAAATATCAGTTTGTATTATATTTTTTTGTGCAAGCCCAAAACATAATTTACAATTCAACATAATTGTCAATTTAAACCCAAATTCCAGACATGCAGTAAAAAGACACTATTCCATATTTTTTAAGTAAAAGAACAAAAGTGGAAATGGATGTCAAATTAGGAAACCGATGCCACTTCTTCTGGTCTCTCATATTATACTGTATTTGAAAAAGTAGATCTCAGTTCGGAGAAAACAAAGCTTCTCTCACTCACAGTATAATTTTCCATCTTTCTGCAGATCGGAGAAAACAAAGCAACTTTCTATCCTAAATCATCCCATTTCCTGCAATCAAATTTCTGTTCTAGTACATCCGCCTGTGCGAAAGAATTTCACCATGAATGTAGTATAAATTTGTATGAATCGAAGCTGGTTATGTCAACGGGAAGAATGAAGATTCTTCATTCGAATGGGGAAAAGTCTAGATCTACATCCCCTTTTCGTTTGTAGACGAAGAATCAAGTATATCTAGATTGTTTGAGCTAATTATTGAGTTGAGACAGCAACAAAATCTGAGGTTACAAACGAATCGAAAAACCTTAGATGATTTCAGATCTAACAGGTAATGGTGTTCTTTTTGTTATAGTAATATCATTTTTTATTTTAATTTATATGAATACAATGGAGGGGAACATTTGTTTATTTACAAACCTTAAATTGTTTTTTTGTTCTTGGTTTTTTTTTTTTGGAAGCATAAATTTCCATGTTGTAGATGGACCCTGAGATGGTACCTTCTGCGAGAGTTGCTATTGGGACGGTCACTGGAAGATTCTTCGGCTCTAGCTATGGTAAGAAGTTTATTCTTACCAAATCTATGGTTTATTCATTTTGATATTGGACTGCAACCTAGAAAGATGATTATGGATTGATGTAAATATACATGAAGTTTTATAAAATATTATATGTTCATATATGAAACCCCTATCTGTTGGTTAATGTACTGTTTTCATTTGGCAAAATAATTATAGAAACTTACAATTGTTTATGTGTTCTAGATAATCTGTATAATATATGTAAGATGATAGCAGATTTCTGAAAGTGCTAAAATTGTTTAAATCATGTAAACACAACTGAAATTCAATAGGTAAATAATTAAATCTCTACTAAAAATATTTTACATCATAAACATGATTTTCGTGTCCACTGAGATGTAAAGTAAAGACTTTACCTAACATTCCTTAGAGCTTCCTTGTAAACAACATTAGTTGTTGAATTGGATCTTGTTCCGTCATCCCTGCAAATCAGAACTTTCAGACCTCTCTTAGATGTTACTCTTGACAGTGATATATATAGCTGTCCATGGCTAAAGACAGGTCGTGGTAGATATAGTCCAACTGTAGAAAGAGACTGTCCTTGGCTTTTATTAATAGTCATAGCGAAACATACCACTATAGAAAACTGTCTCCTTTTCATTTTGAAAGGAATATTGTTGTCTGTTGGGACAATTTTCATCCGAGGAATAGGT